GCCCTGGCCCAGAGGCTGACTCGCTGYAGGGCTCGTGCTACTCCGGATCACACGCTGCCTCCGCGATGCTGCTGCATTCCAGGAGCTGGGCGAGCGCTCCGGGCACCCCCCAGGTGCAGGAAAACTGCCGCTTCCAGCATGGAAACGAGCCAGGAATGCCCAGATTCAGGCAGGAACCGGCACCGACCCCATCAGAAAGAGCCCCGAGCACAGCAGCAAAAYGCAGCACGTTAATTTTGTGACTTTAGCTGTTTTTTTGGGGTTAACTGAAGCTATTTACAGAGCTCTTTACACTCAACAGAGCGAAGCTTCTCCTGCTCTGGAGCAGGAGCCAGGCCGAGAGCTCAGCCTTCCCGGTGCCTGCTCCGATCCCCCAGCCTGGGAATGGGACTGGGCAGCACCATGGGTGGAAAGGCAGCGGGGAAAACAGCGGGAGCCAAACAGGATGGGAAGCAACAGGGCGAAGCCCAAAGCTCCGAAAAGGTGATTTTYCATCTTTCACTTTCTAGCAGCAGGAATGCGGCGGCGGGGCCAGACGGGAAGCGCCCGTGGAAGTCATTCCAATGGCATTTCCTGGAGCGCGCGGCAGGGAAGCCTCCCAGCTCGCAGGCTGCCAGAAAGCTGCGCACGGAGACGGGACCTCGCACGTCCCCTCGGCCGCAACGCAGGGCTGTGGGGACCTGCACCAGGGTCCCAACCAAGATGCCAASTGTGCCAGCAGCTTCTGAAGCCGGGGATGAATCCCCCTTGGTGCTCCAAGGGGATGCGAGGGAGCCGCCTGGTAGGGAGAACAGTTTGTCAGCACAAACAGGTGGTGACAACGGGGACACRGGCTCAGCTGCGAGGGACGCGCAGCGCTAACCCGTTAGGGAGGAGGCAGCAGAAAGCGCCAGCTCAGGGGAGCTGAGGCCACCAGCTGGGCTCCATCTCCGGCCCGGCGCATCCTTCATCGCCTCCACCCCCTTCCTCGCGCAGCCGCCGCCGAAACCGCAAACGGGGCCTCTGGTGGAGAGGGGACGTGTGGGTGCCCGGACGCCCCGGCACCCAGGGCACCGGTGCCGACAGGGCAGGCTCGGCAGCAGCAGCTCCGCGCGCAGAGGCGGCTCCTTCCCTGCCAGCGCGGCCGGCGGGCGCCCCTTCCACACGGACCCCCGGCCGGGCTCCTCCCGGGGCTCCGAGAGCAGCCGCAGCAGAACCGGGACCTGCTCCGGCCTCCCGCTGCCCAGAAAGCTGCAGCCGGCAGCACCCATGGGCACAGGGCAGCCGGGAGCTGCCAGGCTCCCGGGATTGTCCGGGACATCCGGACGAGGGTTTGGGCCTCTCCCTCTTCCTAGATGCGGGGTGTTTGGCAGGAGGCTGCACTTAAAGGGCAGTGTTAAGAGTCCAAGCTCCAGCAAAGCCCACGTTACAGAGTGCTGCACGGCAGGGAGCGGCGCAGCCTCCCAGCCTCCGGAATGTGCAGCGAGGAGGAGCAGCCGCAGGTGGAGGCGCAAGGTCAGGGAGCTCTCGGGAAGAGYCAAGGTTTGCCTAGTTCTGAGCCTGGAACCAGCCGGGAGGCTGCAGCTAGAGCAGAGCATGAAATCCCAGCCGCACGTCTGTCATATGACACAGTCTGAATCATTTCCTATCATTCAAGAAAGCGAATAAAAAAGCTAGAAAATGACTCTGCTATATTTACATCCTCAAGGGTTTTCCCCACGCAGAACCACGAGCCTCCATCCCCCTGCCGAGTGACACAACACAGAGACCAGCACCGGCCCGGGGCGCCGCTCCAGCCCCCGTCAGCTGTGTCCGGTTATCCGGATTGGGGAGCGCCAGACGAGCACCAAGACGCTGCCCTGGCCGCTCCGACACGGAGCCGGGATGCCGGCGCCCACCCGGAGCCGGGATGCCGGCGCCCACCGCACGCTCTGCCAAAGAAAACCCCAAGTCCACAGGGCTCCCAGCAAACTCTGCATGCAAAGCAGGCTCCAAGTGCAGATCTAGCCTTGAGGGAAGGGCTCTCCTCCCTGGAGGCTCGCAGCCGGGCAGGACACTGCACACGGACGGCTGCAAGGTGCAGAGCAGAACCCAGGCTCRTAGCTGCTGCTTCTCTGCCGGGTTCCCAATGCTCCTCGTGTCTCCCCTGCTCCGCTCCCCTCTCCGCCTCGGTTTCCTGCAGCTCCTTTCAGTGCTGCKGGGTTCACTGTTTAAAGTTTACGGCTGGTGGAATTTGGTCCTGGTCAAAGTAGCTGCTGCAGGAAAACATCCTACCCCCTGCGGATGGCTCATGCAGGCAGCAGCTCTCTGCGGGCCAAGGCTGGTTATTAAATCCCTGCCTCGGGTTTTTGTTTGCTTCTTTTCCCAGTGGCAGGTTGTGGAAAGGAGAGGAAATGCAGGCATGGCCAGTAAACAAGTGTACACTGCTGTGTACACTTGTTTAGTATACAAGTGTATGTCCTTAGTGTACAAGGACAAAACAAGTGTACACTGCTGTTGTGTAGCAGAATTTACCGTTTTTCCCCTCAAGAAAATGGTTTCTCGGGATACTCATGCAGTGCGAAGGGGCTGTGTTCGGGCTCTCCTGGGCATCCACTCTCCTGCGTCACCTACACCAGCCGAGACTGAAGCGGAGCTGCTGCCCACCGGGTACTGCAGTGCCCACCGTGGTGCCACCACAGCCCTGCGCTCCTTCCCCTGCGGAGAGGCTTCCCAGGGAGCGGGACGCGGTGATGCCGGGAGCACAGAGCGGGTGCCTTGGCCACGGGGAGCCTGCTGGGACCCGCATCCCCTGCATGGGATCTGCCTGCCGGGACCCGCTTGCCAGGACCCACAYCCCCTCTGTGGGACCCTCCTGCCAGGACCCACAYCCCCTCTGTGGGACCCTCCTGCCAGGACCCACACCCCCTCTGTGGGACCCCCTGCTGCGTGGCCAGTGAGCCCCACTGGAGGAGCCAGTGGGAGCCCTCGCTCTGCACAAACGGCGCTGCAGGAGCGCGGAGGAACAGGGGAAACTTCTTCAAAGGAGAAATAAACGGCACCAGGGTAAGGCTCTTTGGGCTACAGCAAGAGCCTCCCTGAAACAGGGCATTCCCGGGAAGGGGGCACCCGCGGGAGCCTCCCTGAAACAGGGCATTCCCGGGAAGGGGGCATGTGCCAGGCACCCGAGAGCCCTCTGGGCCAGCGCCCTGCCAGGTTGGCACAGGTGCCCTGCAAGGAGGGCAAACCCTGAGCCCATTCCAAGCTACAGCTGAATTGTTGCAGAAGCAGCAACATGAGAGGTGGCTGCAGCCCTGCATCCTGCCCGGCACATCCCACTCCAGTGCATCCCATCCCAGTGCATCCCGGGCCTCCCGGCTCCGGGAGGAGCCTCCTCCAAGGTTACAGGCACAGAGCAAGGGTGGGAAACGGGGCTAACGGGGCTCTTCAAAGCAGGGGCTGGGGGGCGGGTTGGATAAAGAGCAGGCCTGAGCCCTCTGCAATCTGCTGAACAAATATTTGCTCCAAACAATGAATTCAGAGACAGACAGACTCACAAAAAATGAAGACTCTTCACTGTGATAGTTGGCTGGGGGTGGGGAGCRGGGGGAGGCGGCATTTCATTCCCACAAGCAGGGACCAGTGATTTTCCACCAGTGATTTAATCTAAATCCCCCGGAGAGTTCATTTACAAAAAATCAGATTGCATTAGCGCCTAGGTCTCCAGGATACAACCCAATCCGTCACTAACAGCAACAGCCACACCAGCGCRCAAGCCTCAGTTTGATCACTCAATTCCGAGACTAATCTGTGGTTTAAAAGCCAAAGCTGGAGGTGGGGGAAAAGCTCAGCACTGGGCCAGGGTTATCTGTTGGTCGGGAGTGCTAATGGGCCGGACCTGTCTGCTGCAGCGCCCGGCTATTAACCGAAACCCAGTGGCTCCCAGGGCTGCCCCACCCAGGCAGTGCCCTGGGCAGCCGCATTCCAGGGATTCCTGCGCCCTGGGTGCACCGGATCCCTCTCCCTGGGTGCACCCACTCACCTTTCTCCGGGAGCCCCGGGGGAGCAAACCAGGCCCAGCGGCTCCAAGGGGCTCCAAGGGGCTCCCGTCTCCTCCCTGCACACACTGGACATGATGGTCCGTGCCGACTGCCACGCTGACCGCGGCGCAGACCCGGGCTCACCAAGGAGCACGGCAAGCAGATCCCCACCATTTAAGAGCTAATAATTGACACCGTGAACTCTCTCCAGTGGGCACCAGTAAAGGTTACATCAGCAGGGAACCGCTAAGACCCAGAAGCAGGAGCAAGAARCAGACCAGACATCTGCAGCCCATATAGCTCCCACTGGCAGCGTCCCACGCAGCGCKGCACGGACAGAGCCGGCATTTCAGGAATGCTTCCTGCAGAAATGCTTATTCATGTTAATGCACAGCCATGGGAAGCGGCCTGGGCTGCGCTGCTCGGGGCAGCTGGGGAGAGCGCTCCAGGGCAAGCACGAGGCGGCCGCAGCTCCGGCACGGCCGCACACCTGAGCCCTGCTCTGCACCGCTGCAGCCCCAGAGCCCGACACGAGCTGCCCCACGAGCCCCAGCAAACACTGGTGTCACCAGCCCCCACAGCAGAAGGCAACTGCGCAATGAAGAAGTAGCTATTACCCCACCGGGCCACAGGGCTGACCCTTCCGCGGGCTCACGGAGAGGAAGCTCCGCTGCCTGCTGTTAAATGGCACCAGGAACACGCCTAAGAACAAGAGYGCCCTCAAACACAGGCTGGATTCCCAAAGGCTCCAGCAAAACCACCTTTTATGCAACATCCAAAGAGAGAGGGATGAAACAGTAGGTGTTCCCGTTTCATCACGGTGGACTGACCCTCTCGTAGCACAGCATTAAGAGCACAGAGGACAAGGCCATGCAGCAGTTCATGCCACGCCACCTTGTACAGGGCACGGAGCTGCAATCTGCTTTAGTCTGACTAGCAGCACCGACGGCCTCGAACAAGTGGGACGCAACGAGCTACCCCCCCAGGGAGAAGAGCTCTTACCCATCCGCCGTTCTCTTGGATCCAGGGATCTAGATGGTCGGTCAAGTACGTGGTCATCCAAGCTACAATGCGTCCCACCAATACCCGCATCTCCTTGTCAACGCTCTCCACGCACAGCGCCCCGCCGAAGGAGAAGAAAGCCACGATGCGGCCCCAGTTGACGCCGTCGCGGAACAGTTCGTTCACCACCTGCTCGAAGCTCTGGTAGGCCGTGCCGGGGGTGATGTGGAGCTGCGAGGTGAGGTCGCTGAACGCTCGCCGGTACCTCAGCTCAAACTCGTCCCCCGCCTCTTTCAGCGCCTGCCTCACGTCGGCGGCGTGGACGATCTCGCGGACTTCGGGGCTGCTCCTGTGCACAGCGGCTCCGTTTACTATGTGGCTGCCCGGGGGGTGCCAGGACGGGCTCCCGTTGAGGACGCCGTCCACCTCGGGGTCTACCGCAAAGTCAGTCCTGTTCTCATCCTCCTCCTGCAGCTGACTCCAGCTGTACCCCTTCTGCGAGAGCTTGTAGGAAACAAAGTCAATCACTAATTCCCGGTTACTGCTGGACATTTTTCACACTAGGGAAACTCTCAATGAGTCCATGGTCCAGAGCACAAGCAGATCAACACACTTAGCAGGTCCTGACTCCACTCTTCCTCAGGCCTGATGAAAGCATTTGACCTCTGCGCACACAAACGGTGAAGAAGAAAGGAGAGAGGCACGGAAACAGTTAACATTCCAGCTTTTGAAATGCATTCATGCCATTAACACCAATAGCTTATCATTAAACTGAGATCAGGAGGCAGCGCCCAGAGAGGCAACCGCCCTGCCGAGGGGGTAGCAGTCAAAGGCACCAGGACCCCCGGCCGGGGTGAGCGCCCCCCGGACCCCCTCCACGCCGCTCACCGGTCGCAGCTCTGGCCCCGTGGGCGGCCCGGCCGCAGCTCCGGCTCTGGCTCCGCCGGGCCTGGAGCGCAGGGAGGCAGCGCCGRCGCCGCCCAGCCCGTTAAAGGGCCCGGCTGCCCCGGTTGCCCAAGCGGCCGCAGGGCTCCCGGCGCCGGCTCGGTGTCACGCAGGGTGTTTCTCCTGCCCAGGCACCACGGATCCCAGGGGAACCCGGCTGCCGCCGCCACCACCCGGCCCCGCTGCCTCCGAACGGCAGAAACAGCCTCCCGCRTCCTTCCTGAACCCCAGCAGACACAGCGCTGCTCTCCCTCGGGCAAAACAGGGGAAAGGAAAAGAAAAAATGGTTCAAAATCTCCTACAAGAGGAGGGTGCATGAAGCCCGTGCAGGAATTCTGCCCCAGAAGGAACGTACAGGGTTACCAGCCAGTGCCACCTTTACAGTTCTCAGCACAGCCCTAAATTACTGAATCATGAAAGGCAGGGACAGAAACACCCCCAAAGGAAGTCTCCTAAATACAGCAGTGTGCCAGCTCCTGTACTCAGATGGAACTGCTATTGCCTCTAGGATGAAAGGACTTTATACTGTTATTTGTCAGAGGTCTCTCCATAATAATAATAATAATAATAATAATAAATATGCTGCTACTCCCACAGAGCTAAGCCCCCTCCCCAAAGAAGGGGTGGGCAGAACCTACATGCACCTCAAGGATCTTCGCCCTGTGCATTTTTCCAGCACTCGTTTTTACCGCGAGCAGCTTCTCCCGGCTCAGAGGCTGCTCCGCACCAGGCCTGCAAGGGAGGCAGAACAAGGCTGCTTCCCTTTCATCTTCCTTTCCACGGGGATCTAGAACAATAGGCAGGATGCACTGGTCCCCCAGCAGGATGTGGGCTGYGGAGCGAGCGTGTCCGCGTTTCGGTACTCACCCCCGCGAGGAAACCCTGGAGAAAGCTCCGCACTGGGAAATCGCGGCTCCTTCCCCTGCTGGACCAGCTGCATTTGAAAGTTTGGATTAGAGTAATTTGACACTGGAAGAAGGCAACTCCCCCGCCCCCCCCCCCCCCCCTCTCTCCCCAGCCCTGCAGGAACCAGAGGCTTCCAGGGGCTTCTCGGGGCCGCCGGCGAGACCTTGGGCTCTTCCAGGATTCCCTAGTGCTCTGTCACCCGCAGCAGGCGCAGGGATGAGCGCCAGAGGAGCGAGGTTGGCTCCGTGTCCCCCAAGACACGCGGATACCCGGGATACCCGGGAACGGCAGGAGCCGGGAGCGCGGCCCCTTCGAGGCCGGAGCGTGGCGGGCTCTGCCGGCCTCGCCCCTTGCACAATTTATTTTTCGTTTTGCTCAAACCCGGCCTCTTGAGTCAGCGCCGCCTAAGAGGAAAGAACGAGCTCAGGGGCGAGGGCTGACGAGCAGGATCTAATCTCGCAGCCCGGGAACGCCCGCGTTATTCACYGCGCCGCCAGCGTCGGCGGCGCCGAGCGACGCCCGCGAGCCCCGCGGGGGCCACGTACCTGCGGCGGCGGCCACGGCGGCGCGGCG